TGATTGCTAGCAAAAGTGCCTGTTGGGAATATCGGGTGTGCATATGAGCACAACAGTGTAGAGATGAATCTGTCTCTGAAGATATCAATAAAAATATTATTTGAGGAAAAGACAAGAAAATTACAGATATTTTATAGTAGTTTGTAATTATTATTTTTGTAATACTTTTTAAATTGGTTTTGAAATTAAGAATTTGTAACCAAATACAAGTAAAAAAACTTAAAAAAATGAAATATGATAATAGTGAAGAAGTTGAAAACTCCAAAATAGCCAAAAGTCAGAGAATAGAAAGAAAAGTAATTTCCTGAACACTTCAAGAAAGAAACAAATAAACCTGCAGATAAGCTGGCATAGATATGGTTATGAAGAGGACACTTGAAGAGAGAAATTGAATGCTTAGTACCAGTTTAAATCTATTCTATGAATAAACTGCATCAAGACTAAAAGGGTACAGTGAAATAAATGTAAGTAGCCTATGTACAAATAGAGATGATATCATACAATAAGTAAAAGCAACAAGTAAGATTAGAATAGAATAGTGGACATGACAGGACAGGAAAGATGATCCACTGGAAATTATAGAAATGACTGTTACTTGATGACCTTTAGTGTTACTATCTTAGTGAAAGCTAACAGATAACTATAGAGGATTCTTTTAGGGCAAACATTGGTGATTAACAAGCTTTAATCTGGCAAGACCTGGTTATTGAGCACAGTTTGTACATACCATAAGCTATGTAGATATACACATCTTGTGTAAAATACACATATAAACTCTCCCAATGATTTTGATAAATGAAGATCCAACAATTTAATAGTGAATCAACAGATTACCCAAACAAATGGGGTGTGAAGGATTATACAAAACCAATCACATTTTGTGGAAGAACTGATAACAGAGAAATGATACAAAGTGTTCCATGAAGTCTTCAAACAGTTCTCCTCATGTCTGAATTCAGAGTTTCCCTTCTCTTAAACTGCCACCCAAGGCATCCCAGTCCACACTACTATTTAAGCCATAGCTAGAGAAAGATGAGTCCTTCAATCAGCATGGCTGATGCTAACCTCCAGGGGAGAAACACACTGTGCTTTCTTGGTTTCATGTTTTCCACTGACATGGAATGAAGTGATTATATTGAATCAGTTGCTAGGTATGTTGCTAGGAAAGTTGGTTCACTGTGTTGTGACAAACAATTTTTCTCATCAGAATCCATCTTGCATATTTATAAGCCTACCATTCACATGCATTGAATATTACTGTCATATCTGGTCTTTATCTTTTTATTTTCCTTTTCCTTAAAACTTTGTCATTGAAAACATGTTAAGTATCCTCAGCATCCTCCTGTAGAACTACATTTCTGTTGCTTCAAGCCTCATCTTCATCTGTGAGGAAATTGCCAGCATTCACTACCATAGATGAGGACATATTATATAACAGTTTAGTACCCTCTTCTTTGTTTCTAATGAAATTCTTCTTGTTCTTAATACTTTGTTTAGTTTTTGGAAGGCATCTTTTGCTATTTCAATGCATCTTTGGACTTGGTGTCATATTTTTTCTCCTCTGTTAGAACATTAGCCAAATATTTAAATTTTTGTATTTGCTTGATTTCAACATCTCAAGTTTGCAGTTTGCATATTGGGCTGTTCCTTCTTGCTGACAACTATACATTCTTTCTTGCAATTGATAGTTAGTCCTTTCTTCACATTTTCCTACCTTCTCTAGGAGTTCCTTCAGTTTCCTTTACATGCACAGAAATGACAGAATATGAAGGGTACACCAAAAACACATTCACACATTGTGTAAAAGTCAATTATGCACATAGTAAGAAAAGAAAGGATATATACATATACACACATATATGATAAAATAATGTGTTAATCATGCACAAAAACTGTGTATATATGTGTCTGTGTGCATGTGTGTGATTGTTTTGAGCTTGTATAAGAACAGCATATTTGCATATATATGTATATGATGGAATTTATTTTTATTTTTTTGTGGGGTATGGCATATCTGTGTGTGTGTGTGTGTGTGTGTGTGTGTGTGTGTGTGTGTGTGTGTGTGTGTGTGTGTGTGTGTGTGTGTGCTCAGATAAGCCTTTTAAATGTTCACATAAATATAATTGCTTACCATGTTAGAAATTAAAGACATACATACAAACATGCAGACATTTCCATATTTGTGAATGTGTATGTACATTTATCACTGTGTGTATTTTTTAAGAATTATCTAAACTTTTTTGTTTTTATCCTTTGTTTATTTATTACTTATATTGGTAGGATTTTTTTTTACATGTTATATAACATGTTTGCCATTATTCCACATGTTATATATTGTCAGTTTTTACTTCTTAATATATATGGTGGATAGGATACAAAATGAGACACACACTCAACCTCATAATTTTGGGTGTGTCATTATACTCATTCATAAATCCCTTTCCTTTCGTCATTGCAGTGGATATCAGAGTGTACTCCTAATTCTATGTAAGAGTACAACGGGGAGATGCCATACAGGATACAGATCCCCGATCACTACTTACTAGTTTTCATGTGGTTTTCAGGTTGCACATTACAGAAAATAAATAAAAAATAAATAAAATTTGTAAAAAAAGTTTGTTTTTGTTTTTGTTTGCTTTCGTTTCAATTTTATGAATGCATAGGTGGGGGCAATGGAATGAAAATGTGCATGCATTCTCAAATGTATACACAAAAATGTATATAAATATACCATATATAAATATATAATATATATATAATATAATATATAAATATAAATATAGATTATGAATATAAAATTTATTTAAGTTTGTTTTTAAATTTGCACCAAAAAGATAGAAGAATCAGTAAGGAGGGGAGGGAAGAATTTGCTCTACTAGCAAATGATTTGCAAGACAACTTAGTAACATCAGTTACTCACTAGTGTATTGATAAGTCAGTCAGTTAAGTGCCATATGTGAAACACACTTGGGAGATCATGTATCTTTTGTTCCATGACTGACTAGGCAGGTCTTCCTGCAATAGGTTGCCATTTCTTTGTGTGGCAGACTGGTTGGCAACCAAGGCTAAAGAACCCAGTCTGTCCTGCTGAAGGGAGAAAAGATAGATTAATAAGCTTTTCCCAAGGGTATTTGCATGTGAATGTAATAAACTCAACTGAAAATTGAACTTTGCCCTCTGATTTCTCATTACAAGTCAATATATATTACACCACAAGGATGCCTACATAAAGAAATTAAAGTATATAATTTTTCATATGTTTTTGTGGAATTAATTGAAAATATTTAATGAAAAAAAAACAAAGAAAATGGCACATCCTGAAAAAAAAACAACACACAAAAAACAAAGATCTTGCATTGTAAACTGATTGATTCATAAAAATATATATGTAAAAAAATATATATATAAATATATATATGCACCCATATTATGTTTTTGAAAACGCACAACAATTAATTTTAGGGTTGTATTAGTGTGCACCCTTAAATCTAAATGTATTTAGAAGTGTATATATTAGTGTGTATGGAACTAATATTTTGTTTGCATGTAAGCATGAGCATATATGTGTGTATAGTGTGTTAGTAGGTGTCTAACTGCATATGTCACTGTGAGTGACTTTTTAGTGTATACATGATTGTGAGCAAGTATATGTGTGTGAGTGCATGAGTGCATGTAGGTGAGTATCTGTGTCTGTAACATGTGGGCATAGACATGAGTGAATATCTAGCGTGTGTGTATGTGTGACTTAAAATATTTCCCTGATGAAGTCTATATTATGATTACTAAACTGCATTTTAAAATGTATTTTGAGCATACATGTGTATATGTTCTAGGTAAAACACCCTACCACCACCAGAATAGGGCTTGACTACCATTACACGGACTTGGATGAAGACAAAAAAACAAATAATTAAAAAAAACAAAACAAAAATGGAATTGGTAAATCTTATTCTTAATTACGAAGATGAAAAATGAATCTAAAGAAAACCTAAGAAGAATAAAAACTAATAATTTTTACTGACAGTAACCTCGACTATTATTACTAGTTCTGCCTTCATTAGGCAGTTTAATTCAATCTAATTACAATTAATTAACGGTACATAAAGAAATAACAAAAATTTAGTTATGGTGATCAGCTTGTTCAATGAGGCCTTTGTTGTACTTGACAAAATATTGTGATAAGATTGCATCACTATTTTTATTTTAAGTTTACTGTTTATTCAAGTCGTTGTCTTCCGCAGTTTCTTAGACTTTGCGCCTGGTCAAGCCAAAAAAGAAGTACTAAGCTACTTTTTAGTCTGAACTTGTTCAGATAATGTCATAATGAGAATTTTACCATGCGTAGCCATGCTTAACTGCTGTTAGTGTTAATAATAAGCATTCTTGTTTTTGTTTTATTCATTTTCTTATTTATAAAAGATATTTATTTACTAATGCATTTTTACTTACATATATACGGTATGTGATATGTGTGAGCGCACACGCACGTGTTGCTTGCTAGGCACTATCTCTCTCTTTATGAGAGTGGGTAAAGTGTACTTATCAGAGAATGTGTGTGTTATGCGATGATGAGGGTCGGTAAAATTAGTAAGTATTATTTAATTTTGAAAAGGTGAAGATATTTATTTAGTTTTTACAAAAAGGTAGGGAGAGAGGGAGTGAGACGTTGGCGAGAAGTGATTAAAAAAATTAAAGCAGGATCTTGGAGAGGGTCAGTAATAAAACAATTTTTTTTTTTTTCTGAGATAAAAAAAGTTTTTGAAAAAAAACGAAAAAAAGAATGAAAATGAGAAGATGATGCATGAAGGGAAAAAGTAAAAGAAAGAAATAAAGAACCATTGAAGAAAAAGGGAAAAATAAAAAAAAATAAAACACTTGGCAATAGATACCAGAGGCAAGTTTGAAAGGAAAGAAGACGCAAACAAGAAAGAAAGAAAGAAAGAAAGAAAGAAAGATATAATATAGAGAAATAAAGTTAAACATGTATAAAAAGATAAAAGTTATTCTCTGTGTGTGTGATTGCATGTTTTTGTGTGGGAAAAGTGGTGAGAAGTGAGTGAAAAAATATAAAACGGAAAGAAAATATAGATACGTTTAGAAGGGAGTGAGGAGAGGAAAAACGTTAGTGTGTTGTGGGGTCTAACCTTACGGAGAGAGAGAGAGAGAGAGAGAGAGAGAGTACTTTTCTCATAAAGGCGAGATATTTAGAAGGGAGGTTTAAAAAAAGCAAGGAAGTTGCTAAGTTCTTACTTTCAACAGAAGATATCTGCCACATTATCAGCCCGTCATGAATGTGGTAGTAGAGGAATGTACAACAAAAAGTAGCCTACCAACAATCTGAAGTGAATGCAATAAATGCACTATCTCGAAGCTTACTAGCAGCTACTAACTACCAATATTGTTTTTGCAGCCGTGACTGTATTATTATTATTACTATTATTATTATTCAAGTGCTCATAACAGTAAGTCACCACAAGAGCGCAGCACTTTCCTCAGTATTAGCTAAAAGAATAACTTAAAATTTTAAAATTTTAAATTCTTTCAACAACTATACAAAGGTCTACAGAATTTCTGTTTTACTAATTAATCATCTGAGAGCCACTCAAAGTAGAGAGTTATTGAAATATTTTAAGAATGTAAGAGGAGAAGCTAAGAAATGCAGACTGTGAAGATATATAGGAAAAATAAAAAATTGACCCTAAACTTGAAGGCTAATATTATAGAGATCAAGGAAGCATCATCTCGGGAGCTTTTCCTAAAAAGTAGCAGTTCTTGAAGTTGTTCGAATGGAACTTTCTTATTATTATTAATAAAATGTAAAAAGAATGGGAATGAATGTAACTGTTTTCACCATGTTCTGCAATTATACAATTATTATACTCATATTCGACAATTTTTTAAGTTCTCTCAGAAGATTCAGAAAATTGGCAAGCTTTTCAGTTTTCCATCTAATCTGTCAGAATATTGAAATCCATTATTTGATAGATCTCACAGTATAATGAATAAATTTGCTGTTTTGGATATGCAAGTAATGTGATAAACAAAAAACACAAAAAAAGGAGATCAAATGTAAAAAGAAAAAGTATACTGTACTTAAAAACATATAGAGTAAGTTACAGGTTTTAAAAATGAACACCGCCAAACATCAATCTATATCAAATAACCTGATGCTGGAATTACTTAAGATAGACAATTACCTTGTTTGACACTGAATCACCATAACTGAAACAGAATGAAATATAGATGAATATGAAAGATTAAATTAGGATTATGAATGAAAATAATGTTAAAATATACAATATTCCTGTATGACACATTAGTCCCCTGATGACCCCAGAATGAAATATATATGATTATAAATGATTAAATTAGGATTACAAATCAAAATAATGTTAAAATATACAATATTCCTGTTTGACATACGAGTCCACTTATGACCCCAGATGAAATATATTTGATTATAAATGATTAAATTAGGATTACAATTCAAAATAATATTAAAATATAGAATATTCCTGTTTGACACACTAGTCCCTTTGATAACCTCAGAATGAAATATATATGATTATAAATGATTAAATTAGGATTACAAATCAAAATAATGTTAAAATATACAACATTCCCCTTTGACACACTAGTCCACTGGTGACCCTAGAATGAAATATATGATTATAAATGATTAAATTAGGATTACAAATCAAAATAATGTTAAAATATACAATATTTTTGTTTAACATACTAGTCCCCTGATGACGCCAGAATGAAATGTATATGAATATAAATGATTAGATAAGGGTTATGAATGAAAATAATGCTAAAATATATAATATCCCTGTTTGACACACTAGTCCACTTATGACCCCAGAATGGAATATATGATTGTAAATGATTAAATTTGAATTACAAATCAAAATAATGTTAAAATATACAATATTCCAGTTTGACACACTTGTCCACTGATGACCTCAGAATGAAATGTATATGATTATAAATGATTAAATTAGGATTATGAATTAAAATAATGTTAAAATATACAATATTCCTGTTTGACACATTAGTCCACTGATAACACATAATGAAATATATATGATTATAAATGATTAAATTAGGATTACAAATCAAAATAATGTTAAAATATACAATATTCCTGGTTGACACACTAGTCCCCTGATGATCCCAGAATGAAATATATATGATTATAAATGATTAAATTAGGATTACAAATCAAAATAATGTTAAAATATACAATATTCCTGGTTGACACACTAGTCCCCTGATGATCCCAGAATGAAATATATATGATTATAAATGATTAAATTAGGATTACAAATCAAAATAATGTTAAAATATACAATATTCCTGGTTGACACACTAGTCCCCTGATGATCCCAGAATGAAATATATATGATTATAAATGATTAAATTAGGATTACAAATCAAAATAACGTTAAAATATACAATATTCCTGGTTGACACACTAGTCCCCTGATGATCCCAGAATGAAATATATATGATTATAAATGATTAAATTAGGATTACAAATCAAAATAATGTTAAAATATACAATATTCCTGGTTGACACACTTGTCACCTGATGTCCCCAAAATGAAATATACATGTGTTTAAATCGTTGTAGATATGTTTTGTTGATTAACGCAAGTGTTTGGTCGTTCGATTCTCCATGTCAAGTTTTGCACTCAGCCCGTCTCCTTTTGTCATGTCTGATGGTTCGTCATTATTTTTTTGACATGTGTTTATCAGTCATCTCGGATTGTGTGCAGCACCCCTTTTGACTGCTGGACATAGTAAGTTGATTCATTGTGTGTAGTTACGGTATTGAGTAGTATAACAGATAAGTCTGATATCCATGATTCCTTCCTTGCAATTCTTGCAGTTTTTAGCATCCTGTTCATGTGTTTGATCAATATCTTTGTCTGTGGATGGTAAAAAAGATTTCTTAATCTATGAAACCTATGATCTTTTATAACTCTGAAAACAATCTTTCAAACTGACCACCTCTATCAGTGTTATATAAGGGTACTCTGAATCGGAATACCCATGTATTAATGAAAAATTAGAGACGTTCTTTGCAGCCGTTTCAGGTAGAGGGGTTACCTCTATCTAGTAGCCCTGTCATAATTGATAAATACCGACATGGCAAAAAATAGTGATTTGTAAATTTTTTTTACTGATGGTAGCGGACCCACAATGTCTATATACACTCACTGAAAGTCATCAGAAGTTAGTTCAAGTGGTTGTACGTCACCCTTATTATGTTTAGTAATTTTTGCTTGCTGGCAATTTTGGCTTTTTTTTGCAGAACTCTTTGACTGACTTGTCCATCTGTGGCCAGTAATACCAAGATTTTAATAAGTGTAATGTGGCTGTTATTCCTGGATGTGACAATGTGTGCAGTCTATCAAATTCAGATTTCCCGACCTTCTGCAGTATAAAAGATCTCGGAAATGTTAGTGAAATGTCGCACATTATATCTTCTCCATCTGATGATTGATAATTTCCTGTAAATCACAAAGATCTATTGTTACAGAATTAACTGGCCTTGATAAACAGCCTGCAACGATATTTTCATGCCCTCTTATATGAGAAATGCCTGTAGTGTATCACATATAAAGCTCAAATGACGCTGTTCTCTGTCTGACCCCAACGTCAAATGGACAGTAAAGGCACTACACATAGGTTTATGATCCTTTAAGAAAAGTGTATCTCTACCTTCTATGTTGTGTTTAAAGTGCAAAAATACTAGATATGCAACTCACAACTCAAGATCGAAGTCTGCTGAACCTGTGATAACTTTCTAGTGAAGAAACCAATCGGAACTGACTGGTAATTTAATACTTGATCTAAAGCAGCACCTGCCGCATAATTCGATCTAACCGTGACTAGTTGATTATTTTTAACGTTCGAATCTGGTAAGGCTAATGCTGTTACACTCGGTAATGACTTTTTCACATCTTGGAAAGAAGCTAATTCTTCCACGGTTAAAGTCAATTAATAAAGTCAAAGGATACATTCTGTGAGTAAAAAAATGAAGTCACTAAACTTTGGTATTCATTTTCTGCAAAAATTAATCATTCCAATAAATCGTCGCAATGTTTTTGAATCACTGGGAGGAGGAGGAAAATTGTTTAGGCCCTGAATCTTATTAACGCCGTGTTTAATTCCTTCCTTCGAAATATTAAATCCCAAGAGTCAAATTCTATAACACAGAAAATACATTTTGAAAGTGAAATTTTGAGATCATACTCACTTCGCTTCCTAAATACTTAGTACAGATTTTTAGAATGAAAATCTTCATCATTGGAGTATATTAGAATATCATCGATGGATACAAATGTACACTCAAAATCTCGAAAAATGTTATCTATCATCTTTTGGAATGTGCCTCCGGCATTCCGCAGCCCCAAAATTATAAAATTATATTCAAATAAACCCTATCTATCAAGATAGCAGTTTTACATACATAATCAAGATGAACTGATATCTGGTAATATGCCGAGGACAGATCAATTTTCGAAATTTTTTTTTCCATGTAATTTCATCACTATATTAAGTATTAGGCAGCGCAGTCCGGGTTTGTGGTCGCTCACTGGCCTGTAATGTGCCATCCGATTTCGGCATCATGTGGAGTGCCGAACTTCATTCTGACTTGGAAAGAGAAATTATACCAGCTTGGCGAAGCTTTTTAAATTCTTCCTTGGCTATATCAAACTTCTGCTTCAACAGCTGTCGCACTTTCTCAAATACAGGAGGACCGCTCCCTGTTTGAATTCTGTAACATACTTTTGATTTTTGCGTTAGGGGTCTCGATAGTGGTAGTGGGTGGATTTCAGATTAGGGTAGCTTTCCATAATTTTTGTAAGGTTCTCTTTGCATTTTCATTTTCATGGCTTGAAACGTGTAAAACAGAAGTTGACAGCTTGGCGTCATTTTGCCCATTGGTAATTGCATCGATCAACTTGTTATTTTTACACTCCATAGTGACTTAGCAAGTCATATCACAAAAGTGGTTTTGTAGTGTTAGCCATAATAAATGTCCACATGAAATTTCTCCTAAGATTTTTTATTGCCAAGGTTTGCACAATCTGTCCGGAGCACTCTATTTTTGCATTGTTAGCAAAAAAATAAAAAAAGAAAGAGATGTTTATAGGATATAGAACTGTGTTTGTCAGGTACTCTTTTGGAATAATTGATACGGCAGCCCTTGTATCCACAACGAATGGAATTTTCTGAGCCCTTAATTGTGCGATTACTTCCAAAAGTGGCGTGAAAGTGGGGGCCATCACCTCCTACCGCACTAGTTTCCGCTTTCTCGTCACGTGCCGGTGAAGACGACAGCAAAAATGGAAGATGTCTTATTGCCAGTTTCAGACATGTCTACGGAACATCATGAATCAAGACTAAAAATCATCCATTTACCGCCTTTTAACAGAAGAAACCCTCGGATCCGGTTTATCGAACACATCCCAACCATAAATCCGCACGGCATTCTAAAAACAGTCATCGTAAAAAGAATCGGAAAATCAGATCAGGCCCAAATATAGGAACCTTTTAGGGACAGAGGTATCAGCGACAGATTACCATCACAGCTACTAAGACATGAAGAATCTTTCAGGTAGCACCTCTATGGATGAAAACCTACCTACGACGAATTTGGCTAGATAAGCTACCCAGAGACACAGTCAAAAATACCACTGACTGAAAAATTAGAGCTCAACATGTAATCGCAACGGCGGATAATATACAAGATGTCCACATTACACCCACCTTAAGCGACGCCCGAAAAATCAAAGGTGGACAGGTTGGAAGAAATGATTAAAAAATGGCGCTGTGTATTAACCAACTCGTTCAAAAGAGGCATGCATCACAACACCAACTCAGGCGAGACAGCAGAGGGAGACGATCAGAGTTTAAGGAGAGATCGAAAATATTGTTGGTGTCACTGAAGTCGTGGAATTAATGACAAGAAATGTACATCCTCATGTACATTTCACACTCCTATAGCAAGGACAGCGGCAGATTGACTAGTATCATCAAACACAAGTACCAGATCTTTCAAACGTAATCTTTTCCACAGACAAAATTTCTGGCTTGCAATTTCTAGTCGCTGATTTAAGCGTTTTACCAGCAACAGAAAAACAAACGCCCTACAAATCCAAATGGCAGCAAATAATACTGTTATAAACACCGACGGAGAAAAATCTTTCACACTGGATATTGGGCTTAGACATTCACTACTAGGGACATTTGTAAGTGCTGACGTCAAAGTGCCGATGCTAGGCTCAAATATTTTGTGCCATTATGATCTTATCGTCGACCTTAAAAGACAAGGTTTAGTGGACAGCTCAACGTCTCTATTCATGAAGGGTTCACCAACGAATCTCTCTTCCCCGGAAATCAGAGTAGCACTACCTGATAACAACACCTATACAATATTGATAAAGGAACTCGGAGACATAACCAACCTAGTGACGCAGAATAAAAATTCAAAACATAATTCGCTGTATCGGATAATCCCCACTGGACAGTCAATGCATCATGCCGCACCATGATGGTTACCACCGGATAAACTTAAAATCGCCAAGGTAGAATTTCAACGGATGCTGGGCTTAAATATAATCTGTTTGCCCAGTAGTCCTTGGGCATCGCCGTTACACATGGTGCCAAAGAGAAACAGCCCCAACTAGAGACTATGTGAGACTACCGAGTTTTGAATAGAATAGCAACACCGGATAGATATCCCATCCCACATTTACAGTATTTTACTTTTGCATTACTACAGAAAACAGTATTCACTAAAATAGATTTGATCCGAGCTTACAATCAAATTTCCGTGGCCGAAGAAGATATTGAAAGATAGCCATAACAACACCATTTGGAGTTTTAGAATTTAAAAAAATGCCCTTTGGTTTCGAAACCGCAGCACAAGCATTTAAGCATTTCATACACAATGTTTTTGCGAACTAGATTTTGTGTATGCATACATAGACAATATACTTATAGCTAGTGCTGATGAAACAGAACACGAGTTTCACATCCGACATGTTGTACAAGGTGTGCAATATTTTGGATTAAAAATCAATCCCAGCAAATGCATTTTTGGTGTCTCGTCTTTATCTTTTCTAGGTGACAGGATAGACAACACAGGTATAACACCTTTGCTTGAGAAAGTAGACACTATACGTTATTTTCCAAAGCCAAACTCTGTAAAACAATTACGGAGATTTATTGGAATGCTGAACGACTACCGACGTTTATCTCCGCACTGTTCACAGTTACTCCAGCCATTGACGGCACTGTTGAAAAGGAAATCAAAGATTTCCAAACATTTGGATTTTGTAGCTTAATTCTCAACCTATATAAGACACATCTCTGGGAAAAATAACGTAATCCCGGATACTTTGTCAAGAATCACAATAAATACTGTAAATATGGCCATCACAAACAGATTATAAACAAGTAGCCGAAGAACAAGAACAAGGTCAATCTTTAATCAACTACAAAAGAAACTTTCCTTTTAGCACTTCCGAGATCTGGTGTGACACATATATAGCAAAGCCCAGGCTATTCATCCCAATGACAATACGAAGACATATTTTTGAAAAAATTCACAGCATAGAAAAAAAGGGCCACTCAGAAAATGATCAGAGAATATTTTGTCTGGCCTTGTATGAATACAGATATCCGTTCCTGGACTGAAAATTGTCAGAGCAATAAAATCCATAGACACACAAAATCAACATCAGGAAAGTTCAGCGAACCTGATCAACGATTCACACATATCCACATCGATTTAGTTGCACGACTTTTCGTCTAGCTAAGTCACACACACACGCTGCACTCCACTCAAAACAAATTTTAAAATAAACACAAATATACCAGAGTGCTGGCCATCATCACTTGCCACAAGTGTCTACAATTACGTCCGTGCGTTCCCCTTATATATATAAGAGAAACCGGGCAGTGCAGAGAGAGAGAGAGAGAGAGAGGGAGAGAGAGAGGGAGAGAGAGAGGGAGAGAGAGAGAGAGATCTTCCCCAGTCTTTCCGTCTCTAAATCCATTTGTGCTGCCAGGACTGGATTTATGTTAATCGACATTGCTTGTATGAATTTGTGCCGTATGATGTTGCTACTCATTCCAATCTAACACCATCAGTTCATTTAAAAAAAATGGTCTGGCTGTGATAGTGGAAGAAGTCATTAATTTGTCAAGCATCTCTGACTTCTATTTCTGATGCAATGTTATGACTGCTTCTTTAAGTTTGCTGTAATCTCCCAACTGTAAAATGGTAGGTTGTAGCTTGCATACTATCTGCAGTGGTAATGCAACCAAGTCGTGATAATAAAATAGGTGTCCTTATCTTCATAATGTTGAACTGTGCATCCATAATTGAGAACTATGCAATCATATTCGATTCAATGAACACGGGTGGTTTAATGGATACTGTTTGTATCGATTCACCTTCTATAGGTGCTAGATTCACATCTCCTGATCATTGTCAAACATGCTCACTTGTAATGAATGCGGTAAGGATAGGTAACTGTTTCCTCACACATAAAGAATTACCAGATTATAGTAGCATGGGGCTTAGGTGTTCAAATGAACATTTACTCATGCCAATGAAGGATGATAATAAAACACATGGGTAATTTCAACAAAACAAGATAAGTAATTTATTCATGAATTTACATGCTTGAAGTAGAGTGTCAGTAGCTCTATTTCAAGAAAATGAATCAGAAACTACTGACTTTAAGAAAAGTCTATAATTTTAACGTATTGCCATGAAGAAGAAATGAGCATGCATCAGATTAAATGATCCGGCACAAAATAATGTTTAAGACAAAAGGTAAGAGAATTTGTTGCTTACCGAAGTGATATATGGTTTGCATATATTCAAAAGTAGATTAAGAGAGTTTAAAATACTTAGCTTTCTTGGATTTTTGTGAAAAATTCTTTGAAGTCCTGCATGTTGGTTAGAGGCTGATAATATAATTGGCGAGTAATTTTACACTGGAGAGAACCTCAATGCTGGTTACAAGGAAATGAAACAAAACTTTTAATATGAGTTCAGACACTCTCTGATTAATTTAATTTTTCCTCCACATTTTATATAAAAAAGAATTTTGTGTAGGCTCACTACTTTTTTTTCTTCTTCTTGGCTGACTGTTAAATGAAAACTTGCCTTCTGTAAAAGCAAGTTTTCATTGGTCCGAAAACAATTTCACATGGTCTTGGGAATTCTTTTCCTTCTCCTCTGCTCGCCGGTCATTTTGTGTGAAGGCAAGGTTTTCTTTGGTTCAAAAAAAGTCCCATAGGCTTGTGAATTTTTTCCTCCTTCCTAAGTCCTCCAAATTTGAAGGAAGTTGGTAAAGGGAGTTATTATATAGTACTCACTACAGATCAATCTTCCTTTGAATATTTCATTGTTTTTTCATAGAAATATTCCTTCCCAAATAATAGGTGTATACTATCTAGCAAGAAATCTTAAACTCAGATTCTAATAAGTTAATTTGCAACTACATTACAAATATTCTTCATATATCTTAGTTTATAGTCTTAAATATGCATTGAAATGATAGAAGCTCCATAGAAAATAAGTTTTATCATCATGATCTTATTTCAAATATTATTCCAGACAATCTATCATAAGTTCTAACCAACAGACTAATGAAACTTTCAGCACTTTTTATGTTACCTTAATCTCTAATATACTAATAAACTAACTATAGTGTTAATTAAATAGTGTAGATTGAAAAGTTTATTAAATTGTATATAATAGTGTTACTGTGTAACTGCATCTTTATTAATTTACTGTATAGTTTGGCTATAATTCTTAAAATATATTTATACCGTATATTTCTGTATATAAGGTGACCTTTAAATAAGACAAGGTAAAAAAAATATATAGCAAATTTTCATGAATTTATCTTATACCTCTAGTATAAGATGACTGTTTATTGATTATGTAAAGATGATGTTATTGGAAATATTGTTACTTACTGTATCCTTTGAAATTGAAAATAAATAAAATAACAAAACTGATTCTATATCATGTTTTTCCTACACACATCACCTAAAAAGGGAAACCATTGTTTTGTTTACATTTTATCACATAATCTCTTGTAAATATTGATTCTTTTTCTTCTCTTCCTATATCTAACCAGTTCCAAACTGCCTGGTGTACTAATGGCCATTTACTTATACTTCATTGACAATCACAAATTAGCACTAATAACAGTACAGTAATGTACAGTAATAGTACATTCCACTTTTATTAAAGGTTTAGCAAAAGATAAAGGTTGTCATGAATGCATTCATGACAACCTTTATTCAGATTTCAAGGTTTCTTTTTTAGCATTGTCGTATAAGGTGACCCCCAATTTTTAAGGATGATCTTTTTATATAAAGGTCATATATGAGGAAATATATGGTAAGTTTATAATTGACAATAATAACAATGTTGATTTAAATAGCCCCAAAGCTTATATTTATTATTAAAGGTGTATTAAATGTGACATGCATTACATTATTTGACTAGCAGGGATATATGTTATTGGCGTGGAAATTTTAGTGAGGTCAACGAATACTCGTTGTCATTTTCGTAATGCTCGTTGTAGTAGAGACTTTGTAATCGCAGATACAACTAGCATTAATTCATCTGACTCCTCTCCCTCCAACTTTTTTAGTACCCTTTTAAAAGTATCGATAAACCATTCCGCTTGTCAATTTGATCTTGGGTGATAAGGGGGAGTTGTAATATGTTTTATTGCTAATGATTTGAAAAAAGACTTAGACGTGAATTGAGCCAAATTATGTGAAACGATAGAGTCAGGAACACCGAACCTTGCAAAAATCTCGTGTAGGAAATTTATCGTTACTGCGGTAGTCGATCTACATTTTAATATTTCTAGCCATTTAGTGTAGCTATCAACTTCCATTAGATAGTACGCTGCGTATAACGGTCTTGTGAAGTCTATATGTATTCTGGACCATGGCATATCGGTTTTCAGCCAAGGTTGAATTTTGATAGGCGGTGACTTTACTGTCAGAGCACAACCTCTGCATGATTTCACTAAATTTTCGATATCTCGATCCATTTTGGACCAATAAGCATAACACCTCATTAAGGATTTCATTCTAGAAATTCCTGGGTGTCCTATGTGAAATTCTTTTAGCATACGTTTTTGCAACGATCAATCTGTTCGTCAGAATTTCTGATAGATTGTCTGGAATAATAATATTTGAAATGAGATCATCATGATAAAACTTATTTTCTATGAAGAAAACTTATTTTCATTTCAATGCACATTTAAGACAATAAACTAAGAACATCATATATGTAATGTAGTTGCAAATTAACTTATTAGAATCTGAGTTTAAGATTTCTTGCTAGATAGTATACATCTATTATATACGCAGAAAGAATTGTGATGCCAGCATCGTATCACAATTCATTCTGCGTACATAAGTACATCATTACATAATGAAAATGCATTATTTCTAGTGATTTTAAATGTTAATTGCTTCTTCACTTTCATTATGAAGTCGGTTTTTCCGAGTTAATTCTTATTTCCTACAATGTTATGGGTAATTTGCTTACAGTACTCTATAATACATTATTAATTTCATTTTCGGCCCTTATCGCCGCAACTGCTGTGTCTTCAAGTGGTTAATTTTTTGGGTGGTAGAAACTTCATTTTATAAATATAGTTCAATAGGATAGTTCCCCAGCGCTGCAGTCTATTCGCTGTTTGTGTGGGAACACCCTTTTTTGATTCATATATGGACAGTAATGGACGATAATGTGTCTGTAGTATGAATTCTCTAGCATGTATGAATTTATGAAAATCCGAAGTTAAGACTTTCTTGATTTCTTCGAAAGAACTTTGACATTTATCTGTCCAATTTCATTTCACATCTTTCTTTAGCAGGGGTACTCTTAATTCGTGCATGTTTGATATATATATATATATATATATATATATATATATATATATATATATTATATATAACCCTAAAACCCTAAAAATGCTTGTAACTTTGTTACATTTGTTGAGCAGGCATGTCCTTTATTGCGTTCACTCTTGAAGAATCTGGTTGTTTACCGTTTTCATCAATAATTTGTCCTAAATACTTAAGTCTGGACATATGCAATTCGCATTTTCCTTCACTGATCTTAAAACCATATTTTTTGATTCTCTCAAATACTTTCTTTACATCTTCTAAATGTTGCTTTCGGGTCTTACTTTTGATAAGTACGTAATCCAATTATGTTTGAGCACAATCCAAACCGGCAAGCATGGTATCCATTATTTGTTGGAATATGCTTTGATGCCACTTTTTTACCGAAAGGAAGTCGGTTGAATTTATATAACCCTCTATGAGTGTTAATTGTTAATAGTTTTGAGCAGTCTTTGTCCATTACTACTTGTAGATAAGCGTCTGACATGTTAAATTTAGAAAAAAAAATTACCTCCATTCAGTTTGGCAAAAATTTCCTCTGGACTTAGTAACGGGTAGTTATGTTGTTTTAGACTTTCATTTAACCCCGTTGAAAAATCAGCACATACGTAGATTTTATTATTTCTTTTTTAACGTAAACTTTTAGTGATGCCTATTTGGAATAGTCTATTTTTGATATCACACCTAATTTTTCTAGTCTATACAATTCATTATTAATTAGATTTAATGCCGCAAAAGTTACACTCCTTTTTGGCTTAAATGTCAGTGTTATATTCTCTTTTAACTCAAACTTAGCTTTTGCTTTTATGCATGTCTCTAGACCAGTGGTTTTCAACCAGGGTCCCGCGGAACCTTAGGGTTCCGCCAGTACAGTCCAGGGGTTCCGCAATTTCTAAATTAGAACACGAACAAATAAACAACATGTTAAATTCAAATTCGAAAATCTATTTTATTAACCCACAAACTGTCAGACGGCCGATTAACTGTTGTTATTTTTTTTCAATTTCCAAATCATTGAAACTCTTTTACAGATTTTACAACCATGGATAGATTTGTGAAAAAACGCAAGACAGATGCGGATGAAGAGACACAGGATCTGAGGCACTCTTTTGA